GAACTGTTCTAATGTTACTGCAAACAACTAAGATGTCATAGGGGAAGGGGAAAAGGGAAAATACAGAGGTTTAAATTGATCATGAAAATCCTCCCAGGCAGATCTACGGTATTCAGCCATGTCAGTAACATCAAACATTCAGCTTAAAGGACCCAAGCAGCGTCTTTATATTTAGCCTGACAGACAGGTGTCCATTCGAGACTGCAGTAGGAGAGATGACTCAATTTAAAACCCTGAGAGACAGGGAAACAATTAGACAGCAGATGGATGCGATTCTAACAGGTAAGACAGGAAGGGAGATGTCAATGTTGCACAAAAGCATCACAGCACAATGAGACTGAAAAAAAAAAACACACTGGGAGAATGTGTGTGTGTGTGTGTGTGTGCGCGTGAGTGTGTACATGCTAGACAGACCTCGAAGGAAAGGCCAGGTGTTTGAATAAGCTTGCGTGCATAATTGGAAAGATTACTGCAGATTTTTTTTTCTTCCCGTCTTTTTGGAATAAACAGCAGTACGAGTCCCGCAGGGAACGTCTGTGAAATGTCAGGACAGTGCATAAGGAGCTGAATGAAAATAATAACAATAAAGCTAGAGAGTTTGAGCTTGAATGCGTATGTTTGAATGTATTGAATGAGGGTAAATATTTTAAAATTTGAATTTAGGCGACGTGGTGGTGCAGTAGGTAGTGCTGTTGCCTCACAGCAAGAAGGTCGCTGGTTCAAGCCTCGGCTGGGTCAGTTGGCATTTCTGAAGGGAGTTTGCATGTTTTCCCCACGTTCGCGTGGGTTTCCTCTGGGTGCTCCGGTTTCCCCTACGGTCCAAAGACATGCAGTACTGGTAAATTTGGTAGGCTAAATTGTCCGTAGTGTTTGAGTGTGAATGCATGTGTATGGATGTTTCCCACAGATGGGTTGCAGCTGGAAGGGTTTCAGCTGCGTAAAACATGTGCTGGATAAGTTGGCGGTTCATTCCGCTGTGGTGATCCCAGATTAAGCCGAAAAGAAAATAAATGAATGAAATTTGCATTTATTTTTAGGTGCAATGCACATTTGACTTAAAATGCAAGAGAATTAAAATTATGTCATTATTTACAATTTTTTTTCACTTGTTTCTAACTAGTTTAAGTAATGTTGGGAAAAAAGCACAAGTGGATTTAGCCATAATACGTGGATTTAGAGGTGGATTTTTTGCAAAAAAAAAAAAGGCACAAGTGGATTTAGCTGGTTTTGAAGCAAAAGAAAATTTACCTTGTTAAAAACCGGAGAATTGTCTAAAGCAGCATTTTTTGAAAAAAGGTATTTTATTTATCAGCTAATAACCTTTTCATTACCTATAAAATAAAACTTTTGAATTATAGGATAGGATAATTATAGGAGCCTGATAGAAAATGCTCATTTACAAAAAAAGGTCTGATGGATTTAGAGGGTTTTGCATCTGAACTCTTCAAATATATATATATATATATATATATATATATATATATATATATATATATATATATATATATATATATATATATATATATATATATATATAATTAAAAATATAACTAACATATCATATTATTCAATACATCATATTATTATTTAATATATCATATTAATAATTTCTAAAAATAAATAATAATAGGTCAGAGTAAACTACATTTAACAATCAACATTTTAGGATAAAACAGTAGTAAAAACAGAATAATCAGTATATTTTACAATGATTCATTTACAATAATCTAAATATGTTTGTGTGTGTGTGTGTGTGTGTAAGCGTATCACTGATTGTTATTGTTATTTCTCTCCTCTGTTTTTGTGACAGGCATTAATGTATTGTGCCACTAAAATTAATATTGTGCTCTCTCTCTCTCTTTTTCTCTCTCTCCCTCTCTCTGACGTCATAGTTCTGATTAGAGCGCATCACTGCGTTCTGCCTTGTCTTGGCGCGCATTCTTTAGAGACAGAGTGGGGTGAGGTGAGGCGAGAGAGGATGAAAGACACTGAGCATTTATTGGGCTTGTGGCCCGATGATTCAAACCAGGTTCTTTTAGGTCATTCTGTCAAGATCAACCAAAGCATAGCACAGCTGTTCGCTCAGACATCACAGTCTCGCTCCTTGTCTCACTTCTTTATTATTATTCCAGTAAATAGTAGTGTGGTGCGCTTTTGATTACATGCTTTAGTTCAGGAGTTCTCATCCGGTTTGGCCATGGGACCCACATTTTTACATGGTCATCAAGCCGCGAACCAAATTTGTAGGAACTATAATTTAATTTTAGGAATTATACTTTGTGTTTATTTGTTAACATAAACAAGTAGCGGCAGATGCGTCATAAGAAATTCACCAAGACTTTCAAATGAACCATTCTATTGCTGTCATTGAACCAAATAGATCAAATTATAGAAATATTACAAAGTAAAAACCACAAATACTGTTAATAATAAACTGTTAATAAAACATGTTTTCTGGTTTCTAAATATTGCTTTAATTTAGAAGGTTTCATGCTCTCTTATGAGAGCACCTCACTACATATGACAGGCTTTAAGTCTTTTTTGTCATCAATCTATATATATATATATATATATATATATATATATATGTATATATGTATATATATATATGTATATATATATATATATATATATATATATATATATATATACTTTACATATTCTGGGTCGTACTTGCGCTTCAACATATTTTTTGCCATAATTAAATAAAATGTCACATGTCAAACAGTAGGGTTGTTGCGCACGTATTTCTAAATAAAAGTCGGATATAAGCAAAATAAGTAAAAAAAAAAAAAATTGTTGTTTTGTGACTACACACTCCGCGACCCACTAGTTGAAAAACACTGCTTTAGTTAAAAGTGTTTTAGTGTTTGGGTGATTACTTGAGGTACATTTGGTTTTATATTTGCACATTCATTCAGTAACAATTCACTTTATTGTTTACCATGGTATTTTAAATATTCGGTCCGAAATCTCATGTAAGTATAACTTCAAAGCAGTATTAGCACTGTTTATTCAACTCTGAGCAATCTCATTGGCTGCTAATTATATATATATATATATATATATATATATATATATATATATATATATATATATATATATATATATATATATATATATATATATATATATAGTTTCTGATATTATATTGTTAAAAAGTCAAAATGTGCAAATATAAAACCAGCTTTACCCCAATGGGTGATAATTCATACTAAACTCGAAAACATTAGAGGCAAAATGTATTATTACTATTAAAATAAACCCCTATTTGTATTCATTTTAATTGAATAAACTTGGTATAACCATTGCAAATCCTCATTAAAAGATTCAGTCTGAGTCATATTACAAAACAGCAGAAATCTATAGGCTGGACACTTCTGCCCAGAGACAGCGTGAGCTGGCGGCTCGGATGTGTGAGATGTGTGCTAATGTCTGACAGGAGAGAGGGAGAGAGAGCCAAATACACTGGCCAGAGTTTATAGCATCCAATGGATCTCTAATAGCCCCAGTAGACATTAATAGATACAGTGTCAGGACTGTTGACGATCTAATGTAATTTCCTGCCCTGGTCTTGATTAATTATCTGGTTTTATTGGTTCCTATGAGGAACTTGGTTGGCTCGAAGCCCCTATTCAAAAGACCTACAACAAGACTACTTTCTTTGGCATATTGGGATGTGCTGCAATTTAGTTCACATAATCTTGTATCTGTTTTGGCTTACATCTTAAATTATTAATTTTTACAGCATTATTTATTTTTTAATTTAGCATTATTTATTTATTAATTCATTTCTTTTATTATTATTTTTTAATAGAGATAAGTTTATCTTTTTTTCTTTTATACTTTTTAAATTGAATACTTTGTAAACCTGCATGTCACACGTCTCAGTGGTACTTAACATATACCATCATGTTTATGGCTGTGTTGTGTAGGTCACCCATTGCTTGCTTGGCTTTTATTTATTAATTGGAAATATATTGCATATGCTCGTATATATATTGGCACAAAGACTAACAGAGACAGTTGTAGAGGAGGAGGAAAGAGTCATTATGTTAGCGGGCTGGCATGCATGAGAGCGTTTATCCGTGCACCTGTTTGTGCATTAAAATGAGCCCCATGATAAAAGCAAAAGAGAGGAGAGAGAGAGAGAGAGTGGAAGTGTGTGGGGGGAGGCACAGCAGTCAGATTCTCCATTTGTAGTCGGTGACAGTATAATCTGTCAGTTTTGGGGACAGTAAGAGCGAATGAGTGGCCAGCGAGTGAGTGCTATAAGAGCTGTCAGCAGAATCCAATGCATAGACGCAGAGAAGTGAAGGAGATGAGGGGGGAAATAGAGTGCAATAAATGATCATTTTATATTTTAATTATTATTAAAACATTAAAAAATGCATTTATTTTTGTGATATGTGATTTCTATAAATGTCTGTGTATAATTCCATATTGTCACCTCAGCTGTGCGTTGGGAAGTGGAGACAATGAGGGGAAAAAAGGGCGGTGGCGCTGTGCGTGATTGAATGCAACCGTGTTTTCAATCGATATTAGTGAAAATATTCTGAAAATATAAACATGACGAATGCTGGAAAATAAATAAGAAGACGGACATGCTTTCAGCATGCCGTGATTTTGAATTCTTCACGTCTGCTTGTAAATAGGCTCGATGTTTTTGTTCGGAGGTGCTGAAATGCAGTGAGCTGCGCTGGTTAGTGCGCGCTGCTCCCATCCCCCGCCTGCACAGCACAGGGTGAGGGAGGGGGACAGGAGAGAAAGAGAGGGAGCGATAGGCAGCACCCTTGTGAGGGGAAACAAGAGTCAGCTTCGCGGTGAGAAGAAAAAGAGCTGGGGCGCTAACAAAAGAGAGACCATGGATGAAGCAGGGAAATGTCTGTTTGAGAAAGCCGCGCCGCGGAGACTTTGGTCATCCTGCACATAGTCTGCGCGTTTTTGGAGCTGTTGCGCGGTGAGCTTTTTAATCCGTCTGTGGATGTTGCCAGCTTGCGATGGCTGTTGCAGGGCGATGTAGCTGCATAAAGGAGAATGTGCCTCTTTGTTTTTGTTTCCTCGTTGTTTTACTAAGTGTCCTTACAAATGCACAAATTCGCTACAGCGTTCAGGAAGAGCTGGAGAGCGGCACCGTCGTTGGCGATCTCGTTCGAGATCTCGGGCTGGAGCTCAGAAAGCTGTCCGCGCGTCGGATCAGAATCAGCTCTGACACTGCGAGGCGATACTTCAACATCAACCACAAAACTGGTAAGCTTGTTATAAGCGACCGGATTGACCGCGAGACGCTCTGTGAATTCAGCGGCACCTGCACGCTTAGTCTGGACGTGGTGTTGGAAAGCCCGTTTGAACAGCACAGCGTGGATGTTGAGATTCTGGACGCAAATGACAACTCGCCACTTTTCCCCCGAGATGAGTACCAGCTGGAGATCTCCGAGGGCGCGCAGCCAGGCGCGCGGTTCTCCATTGAGGGCGCGCAGGATTCTGACGACGCCTCAAATTCTGTGCGCCATTATCGCCTCACCCCAAACGAACACCTGGCGCTCGATTCAACCAAACCACCTGCGGACGGGAAGCAGGTCGAGCTCGTGCTGAAAAAACCGTTCGACCGCGAGCTTTTACAGTCGCACCAGTTTCTAATCACTGCTACTGACGGCGGATCTCCTCCGCGCTCTGGCACAGCCAGAATCAACGTGCGCGTTTTGGATACCAATGACAACGTGCCAGTGTTCGACAGCTCAGTCTACAAAGTAAAACTGCGGGAAAACTCTCCCGTCGGCGCGCTGGTAATTAAATTAAACGCCACAGATAGAGACGAGGGCTCCAATGGGGAGGTGTACTACTCATTCAGCTCCTACACGCCAGATAAAGTGAGGCAGATGTTTTCTGTTGACGCAGACAGTGGGGAAATCAGAGTTAAGAGCAATGTGGACTATGAAGAAACCAACAGCTATGAGATGTACATCCAGGCTGCAGACCGAGGCCAAGGAGCTGTAGCTGTGCACTGTAAAGTGGTGGTGGAGGTGCTGGATGTGAACGATAACCCTCCTGAGATTGTGCTGTCCTCTCTATCCAGCCCTGTTCGAGAGGACGCTCGGGCAGACACCGTGGTGGCTCTAATCAGCATCAATGACAAAGACTCTGGACAAAACAAACAGGTCAGCTTGGACATCATCCCACCCGACCTTCCCTTTAAAATCAAGTCATTCCGAAATCATTACACCATTGTTACCTCTGCCCTGCTGGATCGAGAGACTATATCGTCGTATAATGTTACGGTTACGGCTACAGATGGTGGGACGCCACCTCTTTCATCCTCGATGACAGTGCGAGTGGAAGTGGCAGACATAAATGACAACCCGCCACGCTTTAAACAGACTTCATACACTGTTTACGTCTCAGAAAACAATGCACCCAGTGCACCTCTGTGTGTCATCAAAGCAACCGACCCTGATGCCGGTGAGAACGCACGCATCACATACACCATCCTCACCGACAACAACCATGGAGTTTCCGTAGGATCTTATGTTTCGGTCAAACCTGCTACCGGAGAGGTGTACGCACTCCGCTCGTTTGACTTCGAGAAGCTGCGCGAGTTTCATTTTCAAGTGAAAGCACAAGATAACGGTGTGCCACCGTTGAGCAGGGTCGCAACTGTCTACATCTACATCATGGACTCCAACGACCACAGCCCAAAGTTTGCTCGCGCAGTAGTAAACGGCTCCCACTCCACAGAGACTATTTTGCGTCATTCGGAAGCAGGGGTCCTTGTTTCACGTGCTCTGGCATGGGACTTGGACGCTGGAGAAAATGCCTGGTTGCTTTACAACCTCCATCATGCGCCAGAACTGGACTTGTTTAAAATACACGAGCACACAGGTGAGATCCGCACTACGAGACGAGTAATCGAAGACAATTCGACGGTGTTCAGCCTCACGGTGCACGTACGTGACCATGGTTCACCTGCTCGCTCTGCATCTACAACGATCAACGTTGCAGTTATGGAGCTGCCACCGAAGGTGGCTCCAGACCCCAAGCGCATCATCAGGCCGCACGGCACAATGATGTTCTCAGAAGTAACCCTCTATCTTCTTATTGCGCTCAGTGCCACCACCTTTGTTTTCTTGCTCACAGTCTTCGTCCTTGCCATCGTTCGATGCCATGCCTACTGCAGCCAGCCAGATGCTTGCTCCTGCTCTCCTTGCTGTGGCTCTAAAAAGAAAAAGACAACAACTATGAAAAAGGCACCTAAAGATGGAGGAGGTGGTGGAGGAGGCGGTGGAGCTACAGGTGGGGGTGCGGCTGGCGGGGTCACTGTCCATCAACAAGCCGCAGTAATGCGCAGAGACCTGAAAGTGGAGCCACACTACATTGAGGTCCGAGGAAATGGCTCTCTGACCAAAACATACTGCTATAAGACCTGCCTGACCGCCACCTCAGGAAGTGACACTTTTATGTTCTACAATACGGGCCGGCCGTTGAGCGGAACTTGGGGTTCGGGGGCAGATCGCTTCTTCACTGGACAAAGCGGACAGTTTGTGCGCAGACTGAGCATGCCCGACGCTACGGCAATACAGGTGTGTGCAGTGCCCACACTCTCTCAGCATCCATCAAGTGACTCATCCATCTATCCCCCATCTTTGCACTCTCAGATATGGGGATGCAAAATAAACCATCAAGCATAAAACCGTTTTTTTTTTCATACAATTGAAGCAGATGTTTATATCAGGGGAGTCCAAACTCAGTCCTGGATAGCCGGTGTCCTGCTGAGCTTAGCTCTAATTTGCTTGGAAGTTTCTAATAAATCTTGTAAGAGTTTGATTAGCTGGTTTTGGTTTGATTAGGGTTGGAGCTAAACTCTCCAGGACAACACCAGCCCTTCAAAACCAAGCTTGGACACCCCTGGTTTATATAGTCAAGCCCAAAATTCACCCTTGGCAAATTTAAAAGATACTTTTCAGCTATGGCGAGGCAGTGGCGCAGTGGGTAGCACGTTCGCCTCACAGCAAGAAGGTCGCTGGGTCGCTGGTTTGATTATCGGCTCAGTTGGTGTTTCTGTGTGGAGTTTGCATGTTCTCCCTGCGTTCTGCTGGGTTTCCTCCAGGTGCTCCGGTTTCCCCCACAGTCCAAAGACATGTGGTACAGGTGAATTGGGTAGGCTAAATTGTCCTTAGTGTATGAATGTGTGTGTGTGGATGTTTCCCAGAGATGGGTTGCAGCTGGAAGGGCATCCGCTGTGTAAAAACTTGCTGGATAAGTTGGCGGTTCATTCCGCTGTGGCAACCCCAGATTAATAAAGGGACTAAGCCGACAAGAAGATGAATGAATTTTCAGCTATGTTTTTTTTTTTTTTTTGGACCGGAAATGACACAGGCTTCTCCCAAAGGATGGTAAGATGAAGTTCAAGAGGCATCATTGTGGAAACAAAATATGTCTCTGCTTTTAATTACATTTGAACAAAAACTTAAGTCAGAATTTGCCTTGGGTACAAATAATTTTGGGTTTTACTGTTTGTATATATATATATATATATATATATATATATATATATATATATATATATATATATATATTTATATATATATATATATATATATATATATATATATATATATATATATGTGTGTGTGTGTGTGTGTGTGTGTGTGTGTGTGTGTGTGTGTGTGTGTGTGTGTGTGTGTGTGTGTCTGTGTCTGTGTGTCTGTGTGTCTGTGTGTGTGTCTGTAAACGAAGAGTCCAGATGCAAAAACCTCTAAGTGCCGTCTGAACTTTTCATAAAAAATGAGCATTTTTCTCAGACTCCTATGTTTATGTTGAGTTATTTCATTTTAAAGACCAAGAGTGTATTCTTTATGCCATAAATTGAAATTATTGAACCTACACACATGTGCCTAATAAAAATGCTCATTTATATATATATAGTGCTCAGCATAATTGAGTACACCCAATTTTGAAAATGAACATTTTTATCCATTTCTCAGTGAATATAGGCAATGTATTTTGGTGCATTTGAAAAAAAAACATATTAATCAAATAGATGCATTGAACAAAATAGTATTTTAGTCAGCAAAATATTAAAAAAACTTAAATATAAAACAATTAAATCCAAGCAAAATATTGGAAAAATAAATTACAACCTACAAATTTACAACTTAATTTTTCATTTATTTTGCTTCTTTTGATTTTTCCTCCTTTTTAAATTTGTATTCAATATTTTTCTCTAACTAAATTTGGGTGTACTAGTTTTTGGAGCGTTATCCTAAGTTATTTTGTTAGATAAGCTTCAGATTTGGCTTCAGTACTGACTAATCTAATGCATATGCATTGCACGAGCATAATATTGTATAGCTTCCTATTAAAATATGGATTTGATTATATAGATTTGTGCGGGGTGTATTTATGTATGCTGAGCATTACAATTGCAAGCATCAAAAGGGCAGCAAACACAATAAAAGTTTTGATTTTACATTTTTTTTTGTCTACAATACATTTACAGAAGATCCAAATTTGATTACAAGTCAAGTTAATCCTACAATTTATAGATATTCTTCCCTCTAGTGCAGATGTCAAATCTCATTTTTCAAGCTGCCATATGGTTTTGATGGACTGAGAATATATTACAAAAGAATTGGCATAATAACTATGTTCATTCAGACATTGGTAGTATATAAATTGCAAAGACAAAGCAAATTACAAGTTGGATTTAATGTGTACTAAACTTGCATTGTTTACTGTGTGCGGTACAGCTACAGGCCTGTTATCAGCACTGTTAAGCTCAGGTGTCCTGCTTAGTGTACTGTATATCAGGACTCTGTAATGGATGCCTCCTGTTGTACTTATTTCCTTTTTTTCATTTTATCCTTTTTTGTGGCTCATTAATTCACAGCAGCGGTCTTCAGGGTGCACTGCAAAAATGCACATGTTAGCGATAGCACTTTTGGATGATTTACAGTATCATATTCTTTTCCACTTGCTTACAGCTGTCATCAAATTGCATTTCATCCGTCGAATGAATTCGCTGTAGATAGAAGCGCTCTCTTTTCCTCCTCGCATTCTCTCTCTCTCTCGCCAGCCTGTTCTGCAGTGCGCTCTTTCAGGACAGCTGGGTGTGTTTATATTTAGAGGTGTGAAGCTCAAACAACACTCCAGTTTCTCTGTACCCACACTTAAATCCCTCTAGAGAGACTCTCCGGACTCTTTCGTTTAGTTACACAGCTTCACTTTGGACATCGTCCATCAAAACAAATTGATAGGCCTTAGATCTGACAACACAGCTTAACATGATTGGTCTAGAGGAATAGATGGATGGATGGATAGATAGATAGATAGATAGATAGATAGATAGATAGATAGATAGATAGATAGATAGATAGATAGATAGATAGATAGATAGATAGATAGATAGATAGACAGACAGACAGACGGACGGACGGACGGACGGACGGACGGACGGATGGACAAATTAGATAGATAGATAGATAGATAGATAGATAGATAGATAGATAGATAGATAGATAGATAGATAGATAGATAGATAGATAGATAGATAGATAGATAGATAGATAGATAGATAGATAGATAGACGGACAGATAGACAGATATATAGATAGATAGATAGATAGATAGATAGATAGATAGATAGATAGATAGATAGATAGATAGATAGATAGATAGATAGATAGATAGATAGATAGATAGATAGATAGATAGATAGATAGATAGATAGATGGATGGATGGATGGATGGATGGATGGATATATGGATGGATATATGGATGGATGGATGGATGGATGGATAGATGGGTGGATGGATGGATGGATGGATGGATGGATGGATGGATATATTTATAGATTTTTTCAGCACTTTGTCTGTGTGTCAAGCTTTACTGTGACTATCAGCTTATACCAAGCAAGTCTATCCTTATTTGCATGAGTTTGCCAGAGATCTTCATTGCCAACTAAATGTGTTTATTTATTTATTTTTTGCTCGGGTTGTGAGTGTTTCAGGCATTACCGTCCGCCTAAAGTGTTTCTCTGTTGTGAGCGCCTCTTATTTGTGAAGTAATTACTGGCCCATTTCAGCCGTTCTCATTAAATGTCAGTCATGTTTGTTCTCCCTGTGTGTGATTAAGTGCTACTGGAGCCGAGCTCGCAGCTGATTGGGCGGTGCGGTTTGGAAAGAAAGGGATAGCAGGATTGTGATTGGTTGGTGCAGAGGTGCGAATGCTGTATCTAGGCGAGGTGTGTCCACTTAGAAGAGAACTGAGAGAGAGAAAGCGAGAAAAAGAGAGTAAGAGCTGCTGAGACGAGATCAGACTGCACTCATTATCTGCTTTTCTTCACACACACAGTGATAAATTAAAGACCTGTGAGATGAATAACAAAACCGATCTTCAGTTTCTTCGCTCAGCATTCCTCTCTGTTTACTATAAACCTCTTAAATTTGCTAAAGCTGATGGTCTGTAATTTCTGCAAATGATTGAACTCTTGTATTAGTCATCCAAAATCTTTTGCAATCTTCCTCCTCATGGATGCTTTCTTGAACAGAACGACTCATTGCACATTACGCTTGGGAACGCTGTAAACAATCGGCATATCAAAGGTTTACATTCTTTTTGGATCATCTGGGTTTATTATTTTGTTGTTATTTTATTTATTTATTTACAAGCCAATGTTTTTTATTTATTAGTCAATTGAACTTATATACAGTGCATCTGGAAAGTATTGATAGCGCTTCACTTTTTCCAAAAAAATGTTTAATGTTACAGCCTTATTGCAAAATGTATTAAATTAATGGATTTCCTCAACATTCTACACACAATACCCCATAATGACAATGTGAAGAAAGACTTTTTAAAACTGTAGCAAATTTTTTTAGAAATAAAAAAGCTGTAAAATCACATGTGCATCAGTATTCACAGCCTTTGCTCAATACTCTGTTGATGCACCTTTGGCAGCGATTACAGCCTCAAGTCTTTTTGAATATGATGCCATAATCTTGGCACACCTGTCTTTGGGAATTTTTGCCCATTCCTCTTTGCAGCACCTCTTAAGTGTTATTAGGTTGGATGGGAAGCGGCAGTGTGCAGCCATTTTCAGATCTCTCCAGAGATGTTCAATAGGATTAAGGTCTGGGTTCTGGCTGGGCCACTCAAGGACATTCACTGAATCATTGTGAAGCCACTCCATTGATATTTTGGTGGTGTGCTTTGGGCCATTGTCCTGCTGGAAGTCTAGTCTTAGGTCGAGAGCACTCTGAAGCAGGTCTTCACTCAGGATGTCTCTGTACATTGCTGCATTTATCTTTCCCTCTATCCTGACTAGTCTTCCAGTTCCTGTTGCTGAAGAACATCCCCACAGCATGATGCCAACACCACCATGCTTCACTGTAGGGATGCTGCTAGCATGGTGATGAGCGGCGGCTGATTTTCTCGAAACGTAACAGTTGACGTTCACTCCAAAGAGTTCAATGTCTCATCAGACCAGAGGATTTAGTTTCTTATGGTCTGAGAGTCCTTTAGATGCCTTTTGGCAAACTCCAGGCAGGGAGTGTCTTCCGTCTGGCCACTCTAACATACAGGCCTGATTGGTGGATTGCTGCATAGATGGTTGTCCTTCTGTAAGATTCTTCTCTTCTCTTCTGAAATGGCCACAGGTGAACTCCAATGAAGCTGCTGAAACATCTCAAGAATGATCAGTGCAAACAGAACGTACCTGAGCTCAGCTTAAATCTTCACGCCAAAGCCTGCGAATACTGATGTAGATGAGATTTTACAGCTTTTTAATTTTTAATAAATTTACAACAATTTCAAAAACTCTTTTCTCACAATGTCATTATGAGGTGTTGTGCACAGAATGTTGAGGAAATCAATGAACTTAATCCATTTTGGAATAAGGCCGTAACATAAACAAATGTGGAAAAAGTGAAGATCTATGAATACTCTCCTGATGCACCGTACGTTAAACTGACCCAAAACAGCTTGCATATTTTATAAAACTAACTTATAACATGATTTACTTAGTTTAATAAGTTACAGTGACCTAACACATATGCTGTCAGGACTAAATGTTCATATTATGTTTTACAGTATACGTATTAGAGGTTAAAATTTGGTCATTGCAACTGGTCCAAACGTGTACAGGGGATTCGCAGTGTTTATTTGGGAACGTGTTTTATATGATAGTTTGTGCAGTTTTGCAGTTTGGAGATTAGGGTTAGTTTATGATGCTTCCTGCAGGACCGGTGGCAGCTTTATTGTTGTTTTGCTGGCTCGTATGATGGATGTGTGTGATTGCGTGTTGTGCTGGAGAAAAAGCAGGCCTTGCTGATTACATTTCGAATTGGATTTCACAATGACGGATGTCCACCAGGAGATGTTTTGGTGTGGTTGTGTGTGTGTGTGTGAGAGAAAATGGTTGGCAAATAGATTGGTTTAAAGCACAGATAATATGCATGCGTTTTTATGTGGCTGTGCAAAGCTTACACTCTAAACAAGCTGGTCTCTGTTAACCCAGTTTTGGGTCATTCATTCATTCATTCATTTTCTTTTTGGCTTAGTCTAATAATCTGTGGATGCCCTTTCAGCTGCAACCCAACAATGGGAAACACCCATACACTCTTGCATTCACACACATACACTGTGGCTAATTTAACTTGTTGAATTTACCTATACCGCATGTCTTTGGACTTGTTGGGGAAACCGAAGGAAACCCATGCGAACACGGGGAGAACGTGCAAACTCCATACTGAAATGCTAACTGACCCAGTCGGAGCTTTAACAGCGACATTCATGCTGTGAGGTGATCGTGCTACCCACTGCGCCACCATGACATTTGCGTAACATTTTTAAAATCAACTGTTGTGTTTGTACATATTTGACCCAGTGTTAGGTTTAAATAACCCAGACTTTTTTTTACAAAATGCTCATTTTATTAAAGGAAGTTTGCAGCATGATGGCATGATAGCTCAGTGGTTAGCACTGTCGCCTCACAACAAGAAAGTTGCTGGTTCAAGTCCTGGCTGAGCCAGTTGGCATTTCTGTGTGGAGTTTCCATGTTCTGTTGGTGTGGGTTTCCTCCAGGTGCTCTGGTTTCACCCCTCAGTCCAAACACATGCACTATAGGTGTGTGCGAGTGTATTTCAGTACTGGGTTGCAGATAAAAGGGCGTTCACTGTGTAAAATGTATGCTGGAATAGTTGTCGGTTCATTCCGCTGTGGCGACCCCTGATAAATAAGGGACTAAGGCAAAGAAAAATTAATGAATGAACAAATTTACGGTATAATTTACTCTAAAATCAAATGTAAAAACATGTATTTGTAATATATATATATATATATATATATAATTTTGCATAACAAAATATGTGTGATATTTACTTCTATTCCAAGTGAATAGGTTGTTGCTTTGAGAAATACTCTCCCCTTATATTTATTTTATGCATTTAATTTAATGCTCCATTTTCTCCCAGTGCTCCATTCAAAGTGAAAAGTAATTTTAATAATCTTATTTCAGAGTTAAATAGTAATTGCACACTGTATAATTCACTAACACACCGTGTGCATTTTATCTGCACATATGCCTCAGTTTCTCTCTCTCCCTGAGGAAACTCAGTCAGATCGATCTCACTCCTCTGCTAGTGCTCCTCCATGGTTTTATGACCTTGATTTGTCTCTGTGCCTGCTTGTTTGAATAGTTGGTCTGGCTGGATCTGATGCTTTAGGTGATGAGGAACTGAAATGAACATGAATGCTTGTGATTCTGACAGGCACGAATGAAATCTTGACCTTGAGCACTTTCTCCAAAGCCATATGCGTGTGTGCACATGGCTGAAGCACATGATTAATTAATGAGACGATATTGGGTTTTTGATCTGTCTCCGTGCTTAATGTTATCTCTTTCTCTCTTTGTTTTTTTTCTCAGCCTAAAGTTCCCAGTTCAGACTGGAGATATTCGGCGTCCCTCAGAGCAGGAATGCAAAGGTAAGACTTTGATCTATTTTAAAGCAAGTAAAAAAATGCTAATTATTTGTTTATTTAAGTAAGAGAGTATTAGAGAGTGGAAAATGTACATTTACACTACCTGACAAAAGTCTTGTCGTCTATCCAAGTTTTAAGAACAACAAATAATAGCTTGACTTCTAGTTGATCATTTGGTATGAGAAGAGAAAGGTGAAGGCCTCTAGATAACACTGATTTCACCAAAATAAAATCTAATCATGTCTTAATTTTTAATGATATCATAAGGACATTAAGGTCTGACTTTGTTTAGACAAAAGTCTTGTCATACAGAAATAATGTCCAGTATAGAATATAAAGTCCTGCTGCAGTGGAGACAGAATGAATATTGTGTCTGACTCCATCATGAGCTTGGACGACTGCATCCATACATCTCTGACATGACTCAAATCATTGATTAATAAAGCCATCTGGAATGGCAAAGGAAGCCTTCTTGCAGGACTCCCAGAGTTCATCTTTGTGTTCATCTTCAATGCCTCCTTCATCTTACCCCAGACATGCTCAATAATGTTCATGTCTGGTGACTGGGCTGGCCAGTCCTGGAGCAGCTTGACCTTCTTTGCTTTCAGGATCTTTGATGTGGAGGCTGAAGTATGAGAAGGAGCGCTATCCTGCTGGAGAACTAGCCCTCTCCTGTGGTTTGTAATGTAATGTGCAGCACAAATGTCTTGATATCTCAGGCTGTTGATGTTACAGATCTCTCCATACTGAATGTAACCCCAAACCATGACTTTTCCTTCACCAAACTTGACTGATTTCTGTGAGAATCTTAGCTCCATGCGGGTTCCAGTAGGTCTTCTGCAGTATTTGTGATGATTGGGATGCAGATCAACAGATGATCCATCAGAAATATCCACCTTCTGCCACTTTTCCAAATGATCAACTAGAAGTCAAGATATTAGAGATCATCGACAAGATCTTTGTCAGGCTGTGTATAAAGAAATCATGTATTATATTTGACAACAAATTAAGATTTAAATATATGAATTATACATTAGTAAGTGGCAAACATAAAAAAATATCCACTACAGTACTTAAATTATACTCTAGACTCTGTCATGGTGTTTTAATTTTATAAGGTTTTGTTAAACAAAGTCTAACGTGTCTGTTAAATCATTACATTTAATGTACTTTTATCTTGTTTTGTAATTGTCAATATCAGGCTAATAATATATTAGGTACACAAACTAAGACTGAATCTAGCAAAAGAAATCCAACATGTTATAAAATCTCAATGTCATTTTAAGAGAGTTAAGAAAAAATCTGATTATTTTGAAATAAAATATTATTATAAGACTAATATCTTTACCTCTCTTAACTTCTGACGCTGACACAGACATAAACCACTAGGCTGTAATGGGTAACGCATGTTTACAACTTCTTCTGAACGATCCAATCCTCCAATAAAGATATAGCAGCCGCTAGTTGACCAGTACAGCTGTACAGCAACAATTTCCACGGAAGCAGAAGTAGGTCATATGCAGCGATTCAAGTGTTGCCTACAGCCATGTCGGCAAAATGATGGCAACGAAGGACATTGCAGACAACAGACTGGCTAGCTTGTTCACATATGTCAAGGCTGTGTGTGTGTGTGTGTGACTGAATGACCTCCGATCTTCATTAGTGGTACACTGATTCCCTTCTAATTACAGCAAGGTTTAATGAGAGCTAATGTAGCCACGCAAATCATTTTCATGCATTTAATTGGATTCCAGTCTCGCAATTTATGTGCTCCTAAAAAAAGCACTGCAAAATTAATTTCACATTGATGATGCTCTCGCGTTCATCTTGCGTTTAAGTTGATATATGATGATTACATCGGTGACTTGCTCGATTGCTCATATTTAGATTGGCTTATGCTCATTTCAATTCTTTATTTCTATAGCGCTTTTACAATGTAGATCGTGTCAAAGCAGCTTAACATGGAAGTTCTAGTAAGCTGTGTCAGTCTAGTTTAGTTCAGTGTGGTTTAAATTTCACTGCTGCAAGTCCAAACAATGAGGAGCAAACCTATCTTAAAGCTGGTAAGAGGTACAAACTTCACCAATTGACGAAAGTGAAGGAAAGAAACCCTTAAGAGAGATGAGGCTCAGTTGTGCACAACCATTTCTCCTCTGGCCAAACTTCTTGTGCAGAGCTGTCTAGGCACCCGAGGCTGGAGAACGCTGGACGTCCATTGTGGAGAAGCTGTAGGTCTAAGTAGGACACCCGTGGGTGTTTAGGCTGGCTAATGCACGGGGTCAACTTTTCTGTCACTGGGGTCTTTCAGGAATCAGTCTCCCGCTCTCCACTTCTCCGTGACCACCACAGCATCTGCTCAGGATACGGCCCGGTCCAGGATTATGGAGACCTCTGGACAAGGAGAAAAAGAATAACATAAGCGTAGAGGCCGTTCAAGTTATAACGTTGTTCTCTAATGTATTATATCTTTCACATGATGAATCAACGACTCAATCTGAAGATTGGAGAGATGAACGGATCCAATTGTTTTCCAGCTCTGACTTCATATGATTGGCTTTAGTCTTTCACAAACCCGATGGAAGACTCGAGACAGGAAGCAATTTCTAACCCACCTTCACAAATGTGTGCTAATGAACGAATCAATCTCTGAGAAGACTCACCTAAAAGATTCATTCAAAATGAACGAATCATTCAGGAACTAACCATCACTACTAATTCGCATCTTTGGGGGGAAACTTATGCCATTGATGTATAGATTCTAATATTTAGTTGAACATGAGCCAGTTTTAAACAGGATTCGCACTGTCCAGAACACCAGGGCTGCGTCCGAAACTGCCTACTACTCAGTAGGTACTGCATTTGAATGTAAACGTACTACTCGGCCGTTAGAAAAGTACGTTCTATACAGTATGAATGTGAAAAGTATGAATGGAATTCGGACGTACTACATCCGCCATTTTGTCATGGTCATGCGACCTACCTGCTTCAGTTGCGTCGCTTCACTCCCATTCATAAATTCGCTCGCAGGGCATCATGGGATAGCGCAGCATGCATGGGATGCGCACTCCAGAGTCTCGCCGGAAGTAGTAAGTCATCCGGGTACTTCTCGCATACTGATTTTCGAATTCTATGAATTCGGACATACTACTCGCCTCGCATACTGATTTTAGCGTACTATATAGTATGGAAGTATGCGGTTTCGGACGCAGCCCAGGATTGACTTTTGTCAATGGATTCCTTTCAGCTACCAATACTGACATTCATTTGAGTAGCTTCTGTTCTAGTTGCCCATCAACCATTTTGGTTCTCTTTGTTGCTCTTTTTGCAACTAGACATCTCTTTTTATACGGGACTAGGTTTTTAACACTGTGCCCAAATCTCTAGACTCGAGGACCAGCGGATTATACTTTGTTTGACCTCTTCTCTTTAACCTGCCTGGCTTAAGTGACCCTGCCAGGAGACTCCGAGCATAGCTCAAAGGGTCACAAAGATTTGCAAGCTCCCAGACATCAAGAAATTGGTGCTCCGTCAAGGGATATTAAAGTGTTAAAGTCGGTCAGAACACTTTAGCAATGCACAGCCAACCAAAGTGACACTTGCAAGGGCAAACATCAAACCTTTAATCGCAGACAACACATGGTTTTTTGGATGTCCAACAGAGAAATGATCAGTGGAGGGAGTAATGACATTGATATGCAGGTGGAAATGGAGGGGAGAAGAGGCAGACAGGAAGATGGAGAGATGGAGGATGGTAGAACATTAGCCGAGGATCATGTATTTGGTCCAGTGTTTCTCATTAATAATGCATTCGCCTTACTGACTGCCACTTCACAGCTCTTTAAAATGGCTTCCACACACACACACACACACACACAGCATGTAATAGCAGCAGTAACCGCCTGACCTTGGACTGCAAACATTCATCAGGAAAGAAAGAGGTGGGGGAGGGCAACTAAAATGGGTTTTCTGCCTCTTTTTTTGCAAACATTCTGTTTTCGGGATATTTTAAAACAGTTTTAACTGATTAATGGTTGATTGAAATCATTAGAAGTGTCACAGACGTTACTTAAGCAGCAAATTATCATATTAGATTTCTGAAGGTACAAGTGACACTGAAAATGGAGTATAATTTACACTTCAAAACGTGGTGGTTCAGTGGTTAGCACTGTCGCCTCACAGCAAGAAAGTCGCTGGTTCGAGTCCCAGCTGGGTCATTTCTGTTTGGAGTTTGCATGTTCTCCCCACATGTGGGTTTCCTTCGGGTGCTCCGGTTTCCCCCACAGTCCAAACACATTCGCTATAGGTGAATTGAATAAGCTATATTGGCCGCAGTGTATTAGTGTGTGTGTGTAAATGTGAGAGTGTGTTTCCCTGTACTGGGTTTGCAGCTGGAAGGGCATCCGCTACATAAAACATATACTGGAATAGTTAACGGTTCTTTCCACTGTGGCGACCCCTCATAAATAAGGGACTAAATGAGTCATTGACTTTAAAACATATTCAGATTTATTTTTATTCCAATGATATTTTCTCAGTATTTCTGTGTTTACTGTTTAAATAGCAGCGTTGTTGAGCATAAGACACTTCTTTTTTTAATACCCATTTCAGTGTAGCTAGGGCAAATGACCAAATTCATGGTGTTTGTGCTTTAAATGTCAAAGATAATGTACATTTAATATGTTTTTATTGCTAAAATAGAATTGTCTTCTTGATTTATGTTCATTTTTACACTAATGTTTAGCATCTAAATTATTAAACAGTTTATTTATAAAAATATGATGTATGTTTGTGTAAATCGAATGTTGCTTTAGAAGTAAAAGAACTTTGCAATTATGACTTATTACATTGCTTGCCAACTAAATAAATAAGTAAATGGCCTCAAAAAAAGATTTAAGATAAAATAGGTTTATTAGAAAAGAAGAGTAATTTAAATGTCATGAAACTACACTCAAAAAAAAAAAAAAAAAAAACTAATCATTGAATGAATTTAATTTAAATAAACTTGTTTAGCACTAACTAAAAAAAAAAAAAATATATATATATATATATATATATATATATATATATATATATATATATATATATATATATATATATATATATATTTTTTTTTTTTTTTTTTTTTTTTTTTTTACACAATTAAATGCAATTGAGTTGGTCCAACTTGATTTTTATTAAATAAAAGTTTACATACATTTGTGTTTTTATTTAACTTAAACTCGAAGGTCTGATAATATCATGTATGTCTGTTATGTGTTGTACATTTCAAAGTCTCTTAGTTCTATTTGAAGTTATCCTAAATGAACTAAAAGAGCCATTTTTAAGCATTTTTTCAAATACAGTTGATTGAAACTGATCTCAGATCAAATTTTAGGACAGTTATTGCTCACTGGGCGAAGCAACAAACTGCATTTTTGCCAATGCTGCCAACACCCAAAGCATGGGTGCTTATGTACACTGTAGAAAATGAAGGGTTCCACACAATTCATTCAAGTTGTTCCAACACAAATTGATTAAGTTAACTTAACACTTTTAACAAATGTATGTGGATTGAACATGCAACATTAAGTTGTCCCAATGAAATCTCAAGAATTGTGTTGTTTCAGTTCAGTTTAATTAAGTAGTTTGAACAAGTAAAAAAAAAATAATAATAATTGTGTGTAACCTCAAAACTCAAAGCATTACATGAAACTCTTCTAAATATTCCAACTAAGGTGAAGATTAAACTCTAACAAGTCTTTTTATTAACTTTAAACGCCTAAGATTGCTTTTATTGTCAACATTTCACTCTCTTAATTCAACCCCACGCAAAGCAATCTGGGAACTACAAGTCCCCTAACCAGGTAGTTGGACCAACACAATTCCTTCACGTTCTTCCAACACAAAACGCTTAATTTAACTTAATGGT